CATTCAACCGACGTAACTTTATTATTTTTTGAATTTGAGACCGGCTGGACCAATCTTGAATTAATACCACGTATCTCTATATAAGCTAAATTCGATTGACCCAGATTAGATCGATTTGGGTTCAATTTAAGTGAACTTCTTCTGATCTAGATCATTTTTTTGTTGATGAGGGTGCACTGATCCAGCCTCAATCGAACACAGTGTGGTTCACTTAAATTGAACCAGATCGATCTAATCCAGTCAATCGAATTCGGCTATAGAGGAGGGTAATATAGGCTATTTTTTATCCCGAAAAAAAAAGTTCAGTTGGGCGAAACTCTGATACACTGGAATGCCTATAAACAGTCCGGGGCGCTCTAGAGCAGCTCTGGAGTGCTTAAAATGCGTCACTGAACTCACTTGCATGCGACTCTGGTATTTTGGACCGCAAAACAAACAGCCAACATAACCCCACTTATTTGACGCGCAAGCGCGTTTTGGACCTTGAAAAGGTATATTCACAGCTTTTACAATTAAAGTGTTCTATATTCACTTTTTTCAAGCTTGTTAGTAATTACTGATCTTGACAAATAGTCAGAGGAATCAGCTTTATGACCATAAGTGTTCTGCATTTACTTTTTCAAGTTTATGATTAACTACTGTTCTTGACAAATAGTCAGAGGAATCAGCTTTATAATCAAAGCGTTCTACATTCACTTTTTCAAGCTTATTATTAACTACTGATCTTGACAAATAGTCAGAGGAATCAGCTTTATGCAGATTAAAAAGGCTTGGAGGACAAAAACAAATTTGTCATATCTACAATAATATCCTCAACTACAACAGACTTATGACTAACCACATCCCACACTTCATATTCATTTGGTTCATAACCAACCAGTACAGCTTTCCAGGATTTGATATCAAATTTTGTTTTCCTGGTTTTTATGTACCTATAAACGGTATTATGGAACCAAACACTTATGAATATTTTACTTGAGGCTTTTTACTACGCCACATTTCCTATGGTGTTTCAAATTCTTTTAAAGTTTTAGTAGGGGTCAAACTAAGTGAGAATGTTGCAGTTAAAACTGCCTCCAACTTTTTTTTTCTATATAGCTGCATCATTTAATTTGTGGGGTTCATGGAATTGTCAAATGATGACTTATCTTTTTGCATACCAAAAATCTCTCATTTCAGTAGCTAGATATCCACCTTCATTGTCTCAGAATACATTGAAAATCTGTAAATTGAAATGTGCCCCACTTTCAGCAACTGAATCTTGAAACATACAAAATACATATGACTTATGACTCATCAAATATGTTACACAATAGTAAGTAAATTCATGCACAAACAGTACAATGTTTTTGAAATGGAAGTCGCGCTTGTTTATGCGCGCTCCACATAAATACTCATTGTATAACGGATAGATTTGTTCCCTAAGTCCTCGATCTCTATTTTTTTTTTTTTATAATAATTTAATAATTTAAACCTCACCAATGTGGACCAAACGTTCAAACCACAATTGATAATTTTTATTTTTTTATTTAATCGTCACTATTTGCTTGAATAATAGTGTTTTTTTTTAAATTTCCAATAACAGTGAGTTCAAGAGCAATTATTATTAAAGTGTTCAAAGACTTACCCATAAATTATAAGCTTACCGCCTTTGTAAATACTACCACTTTTTTTTTTTTTTTAAACAATATTCATACTACCCTTTGCATTTTTCTTACGGACAGCAAAAAGACTTTCCTGTATGCCCATATTACTGGGAATACTAATTGTGCCCTTTTTGGTTACTGTTATAAGGGTTCCATTTTTTTTTTTTTTTTTATTGATGGAATTGTTTTGTTTCACTTTTTTTCATTGTGTTTCAGAGACTTGTTTTTTTTTTTTCGAAATTGCGTCTTTTAAAATCGATTTTAAAATATCCTCAACGATAATTATTTCTAAATTGCTGAACAACTGATGTTCTTATCTAAGTTCAAGCTCTGTTAGCATAAAGCCTTTTGTTTCTTTTTAGTTTCAAATTTTCCATTGTCACATTAAACACTCCCGGTTTCCACAACCGCAATGAATACACGTACACTGGTCCCATAACCTGTTGGCAAATGGACTAAGAAATAAAAGAACTTGTTAATTATCGATATTCAATATATTTATTATATCGAACACAGCGTGGAAAGCAGAGCGTGTGAACTCATAGAAATAACTATACGAACTGACTCAACATCAAGACAAAGAATTACAAACCCTTTCTTAAAGGGGGTGTGCGCCAAAAAAACAACTTCATCTCAAAAAAAAGAGAAAAAAAATCTAACAATAACAGTGAAATCCGCACCCCTCTATTACAAATAATACCGCAGATATGGCTCTATGAAGGTACCGCATCTCACCCTATGACGTCACGAAAGCTCAAGCGACGCACGAGAAAGTGGGGTTAATTAAATTTACATATGTTTCTCCTGTGTTACCTGCAATAATCTAAACAAAAACCACTCACACGTGCCGGGAACAATCAAATTAACAATGCGGAGCTCGGCTGGACGAAGTTTTCGTGGCGTCACGAGAGCGTCCTCCACACTTTAAAGCGGTATATCTCAGCGATGGTTTATCGTAGAATAACGAGGTTTGAACAGTTATTCTTAGTAAACGATTCCTCATCTGTTTATCTTACATATAAAAACTATTATAAACACATTCAGTCATCCATAGCTGCGATATAAATTAGCAAAGTATAGGCTAATAATCAAAGTTTAATTTATTAATTTTTGTTTCACTGATATAAATATCAGTTTATCCAACACTTATATCATAAATAACTATTTTCTACAAACGTCACTAAAAGTGTCATTTTTAACTGATGCTGTCAGTGTCTAAAATGCCATTTTATGACACTAGTGCTAAAAGTGATTACTTTTAGCACTAGTGCTAAAAGTAATCACTTTTAGTGCGTTTGTAGAAAAAATAGTGTATGGTATTCGTGCTAAAAGTGATTTTATTTTGTTCAAAGGGATGGAATACTCCGCTTTCGGCGTCGTGTCCCAAACTTCCCTTTTCACAAAATAAAATGTCACTTTTAGCACTTATATCATAAATAACTATTAAAAGGTTTGACAGGTTTGACAATTTTGAAGGTATACCAATAGGTGCTTTGAAAACTGAATGCTTCGTTTATTCTTGGAAACTAAGATTGTTCATGTTCCATATTATGCTTCTATGCCTGCTGAAAGAACAGCCACCTGTAGTATAAGGTAGCAAGTTTTAGGTAAAAAATAATAAAGTAGCTTTTGATAGAAATAGGTTGACCTAGGTTAAGTAATTATGCTGCAAGTGTAAATATGCTGTATTGGTAATTTGTTTAAGTTAATAATTATTCAGCAACTAAATTGTAGCATAAGCATATTGTATTGGGAACATCTATTGGGTAAATAATTATACATTAATTCATAGAGAACCGTCGTTTAGACATGTTGTTTTATTTATTGAAACCTAATGAGAAGCTAGAGAACTTATAATATTACAATCCAAACCCCGGTATAATATAATTCTATCCTACAACTGCCTCCGAAAATGGAGCTTTTTACACGCTAGACAACCTCTGCAAAAAAGTTTTCCTACAGCCGTGCGGAAAAATCGATTTTCCGCACTGATATGCGTGCGGAAAATGAGTTTTCCCGCACGGTGCGGTAAAACTTTTTTTTTTGACATATCAGTGCGGAAAAAGTTTTTCCGCACGGCTGTCAGTGCGGAAAAAATTTTACCGCACTGATATGTCAAAAAAAAAAGAAAAATTTTACATTTTTTCGCCTGTAGGAAAAATATTGTACCTAACACTTGCGGAAAATATTTTTCCACACTCGGCTGCATCACCGAACTCCGCTACGCGTCGGTCGGTGAACGGCAGCCGCGTGCGGAAAAATTCATTTTCCGCACTTGTTAGGTAAATAGCTATTTCCACACGCTGCTAATTAGTTTTTTATTTTATTTTGGTCATATCATTCTCTGACATGACATAAATTGTGATTGTCACCCAAGTTCTGTGGTCACCAATTTTTGATGCTGATTTGTTTTCTAACAACAAATAAAAATTGCAGTCTATCGATTTTAATCTGATACTCCAAAGTAGTCCAAAGGAATCTGAGCTGGTGGTTCCCTACATTAGAACGCCAATGGTCACCTGAGGACCTTGACGTCACACCTGTTTTTGCCATAATGATCACCCGGTTCACCCCCTCGATCCTCATACAGAAAGTGTCAGTAACTGGTGCGAAAACTGGTGTTTTGAAATTTTTTGACAAAAACTTTAAATTTTTGATTTATGAAATTCTCAATAGTAATATTACTAGTGCAATGGAAATTATAAATATATTTCCATCGCACGAGTTGTATTTAATGAGAGAATTTCATAAATCAAAAACTTAAATTTTTTGTCAAAAAATGTCAAAACACCAGTTAGTATGCAATTATCTGATAATTTGCACTAGTGCAAATTATCGCGTAATTACAATCGGATTGGTTCAACAATCAAAACATGTCAATTTATTGTTGGAATACCAGTTTTGACAGATGTATGAAATTCTCTCATTAAATATAGCTCGTGCAATGGAAATATATTTATAATTTTCGAAAAATTTGCACTCATGCGTTTTTAACTGAAAAAGGCACTCGTGCACTACGTGCACTCGTGCTCTTTTTCAAATATGCATTCGGGCAAATTTCCCAAAAATTATCAATAATTTTCATTGCACTCGTTATATTAGTATTGATAATTCCCCAAGTTAAAAATTTAGGAACTATGTTGGCAATACAAGCCTTTTTTACATAAAAAATTTGAAAGCATTGACAATTTTACGTTGTATTGCCAACATAATGTCATTTTGACTTTTATCTTTAAAAAAAAAACAGACTTTACCTGTTAGTTTGATTGTGTCCGGTAAGTTTTTGCTAGTTCTTTTGTTTCTCTGAATGTAATATTAATACTATTTGACTCATTTTGTTCAAAATCTTTAAAATATTACGAAAGAAATTTCCAATTTATTACACATATTATAATTTACAAATCCCAGGAAGGTTAATATTGTGAGAATAAATATTCTAACAAAAATTTGAATTCAAATAAGAAATTATGGAAAATAGAAGTTATATTAGTTATATGATCAAATAACTCCAAGTACATGACTTCAGTTAAGAGTTCCTTCTCTTCTTCCTCTGTTCTTCCTTCTGCAACAAATAAGAACATCCTCAAAAACGTGATGATAAATTATGTTTTTCTATTTTGGTGTCATATCGAAGTCTTTTCGAAACTAAAAGTACCTAGTTTCGAATAGAAGCTCTTTGTGACACTCCTTTTTTACTTATCGGAGGTTGGTAACACTGATGGCTGACTGAAGGCCGTCGAACTGTCATTCGCGATTTTATAATAGAAGATTTTAATTCTATGTTACCAACCTAAACATATGAAATCAGGAAATATGAGAATAAAATTTCCAAGAAAAATTTGTTTTTTTTTAAATTAAACAATACCAAAATAGAAAAAATAGTATAAAATATTCGTTTCATGAGACATTTTATGAAACTTGTATTTTAATGTACTATTATGTCCGATTGACCAATAAAGTGCTATTTATAGAACAGTTTTGCGTCAATAAAGTAGCACTTTATTTTACTTGTAAAATAAAGTGCTACTTTATTGCCTACCTGGACTACCTGACAACCTCCCAAGGTGAAACAGGTCCTGACAACCTGCCAAGGTAAAACAGGTATACCTACGCGAATTTTAATTTTTTCATTGCATTTTTTCAATTTTTAACAAAAACCAGAATATATACATAAACAGGCTTTATTGACTCATCATTATACTTGTTATATAAATAGCTATTATTATATGATAAGTTAGGTTTCTTAATTATATTAGTTCAAATGGAGCAATTACCTGGGACAAAACTATAAGCAATTTCCTGAAAATTCCAAGCACATCAACAAACAAGTCCAACGCGTGAGCTACAACATCCTTGCTTCCCATTTTCCTCTTCACAATTATAGCTTGTGTGTCATACAAAATATATCCACACATAACAAAAATTCCCAGATATGCACGAATGTTCCATAATACAGTTGATTTAAGGAATATGTTAGCAAAACCCATAAGCATCAAGCTGTTTAGTAAGGTTAGAAGAATTCCGCCCAAGTACAGCCATTTGCCTCTCTCAGAGAATATAGCGCAAAGGCTAAATGATACAAAGACTAGACTAGTAGAAATTAAAGCTGTAACAATGATGCTTGGGTCTACTATCATAGCATATTTAAGCAAGGGGCCCATGCCAAATCCGCTCAATACAGAGAAACCGAAAAGGTATCCTACTCTTTTGGCTGTTTCTTTGCCATCGTCGTCTGGGTATATTAGCAATAAAAACAAGAAAACTGCGGCTCCTATAGCACAAAATAAGCCTGCTTCTGTCTTGATCAAATTGTGGGTTGCAATTATGGCTCCTAAACCAGCTGCCAGAGTTGACATGGCCAAACAGGCATAGACATTTTTCAAATGGTGTTTGATTGGGGGTTCCCTAAAAAAAAAAATTGGATTAACTACGGAAAAACAAATTCAATGTGCCTATTGTTTATAACAATACTTATATTTATAACGTCCGAAAACAATCTTAATAGGATTTGAACAAATTGATACATATTGCTCGTCGTTATTAATCTGACACTTTCCGTATGAGAAGCGAGGGGGTGAAGCATATGGAAAAAACAGTGTGAGGTCAGGTGATTGGCGTCCTAACGTAGAGAGCCACCAGCAGCTCACATTCCCTGGAAGTGTCAGATTAAAAACGACAGACTATAGGTACTATTTAATTTGGATATACAGAGGTATCTATCATCAGGTTTGAGGACAAATATTTCAACATGTGATAATATGGTCTATTTCAAGCTAAAACTGTCCTATTAACATGGGTCGATTCGTCACTAGGTTCGCCAGGAAGTTCGAAATTTTCGCCAAAAAATGGATTGTTCTCAGAAGAAAATTGAAAAATTGAATTGGAATGTAACTTGAGGTCTGCAAATGTCTCAGCCTCTTCTGCAACCGGAATTAAAGTTGAACCACCAGCATACGACGGTCAGAAATCATGAGCAATGTATAGACGTCAGCTCGAGACTGTTGCAAAGGCTATTGGTGAGAGCTCCAATGATATGGCTACAGGCTTGATTGTAGCATTATGTGGCCCAGCCCTAAACCTATGGAGGGATCAACACCGAAGGCAGCTGTACCACCGGAGAACAAGGTAACAGAAAGCTGCGGAAAGCCTATAATAATTTTCAACCGATATTCGTCGTCTGGTAAATTTGGACTATCCGGAAGCACCAGCAAACTAGCGGCCGAAAGCTTTTTAAATGTAGTTGGAGATATGGACGTATTGTCTGGCTAGCGAAACGGCGAACTGCAAAAGAATTTGCTGCTTTGCCAAACTTGACGGAAATTAGAAACAAAATAATAAACAAGTTGGTGACATAAAGTGCGTTTTTTTTTTTAAAGATAATTCCCCAAGTCAAAAATTTAGTAACTATGTTGGCAACACAAGCCTTTTCTACATGAAAAATTTGAAAGCATTGACAATTTTACATTTTATTGCCAACATAATGTCAGTTTGACTTTTATCTTTAAAAAAAAAACAAGTTTTTTTTCTATATGGGCATGTGTAGTATTTTGAAATAGAAAAAAAGTCAGGCAACATTGCGAAATAATGGAAGTGGAGAGGCGTGATTATTCAGAAACATAATTCTATTGGTTAGAGCCTAAACGACAGCACGCAGTGGCGTGGTTATTGGCTTCTTCTAATAATTTTATTGGTTTATTTCCTTGGTGTTTTCGGTGCCACTGAACTCAAAGACATGGCTGTCATCAGACGCTGTCAGTTGAGGTGTCAGTGAATATTTTTATGTCACGCCCCAGTTTTCTTCCCCCTTTCGTCTCTATCAAGTTACCACTTGCCAGACTATACAGAGAATGCTGTTTTTTAAAAAGCAGTGAAGCACTACAAACTGAGGCCGCATTTAAGATATCACATTCAGCGAAAGATCGCAGTGTCCATTGTCCATACAAGAAGAAAAAGAATCAATGGAAAAAATTGGGGGCACAATGTCGGGAATTCATTGAGTGTTACCGCTGCGGTAGAAAGGGACATTCACGTGACTGGGTAGTATACGGCTAGGATCTCGCGCTCCTTCAGGGGACTCTCAAACTTTAAAGGAAAATCAGGAAAACTATAACTAATCAACACAGAGAGGCGGGTGTTGGATAGTGCACGTGAAGCGTCTAGAATAATATACATCATGCTGGGAAAGACTGCAGATAGTTTGACTATTATTGGGAAAAATATCACCACAACAATGGACACCGCCGCAGCCGTATTTATAATAAATTCCAACATCGCCAAAAAGTTCAATGCGAAGCCACTTTCAAGGGAATTTCCAGCAAGAAGCAAAGAAAAAGACGCAAGGGGGACAAAACCAGCCCGGCCGCCCTGTCCGACGACGACACCAGGCACGTGTTGACCAAGCTCACCAATGCCGTTCAGCCAGCCCGCCCCAATCCATTGCCATGCCAGGACCATCCAGTCAGAAACCGTAACCATCAGCGAAGCGAGCTGCAAAACCATCAGCAAGGAAAGGAGATACCTAAGCCCCCGGCAAATACACTGTGCCGAGGGGACGCCGCGGCCGGACCAACATCGCCAGAGTGGTTCCAACCCCAGAAACAGAAACAACAGCAACAGAAAAAACCGCTACACAGCAGACTCCAAAAAGGTGCCCCCAATCATACTCAGGGATAAAGCCAAGTACGACCAGGTCGCCAAATTTCCGAAAAGCACGAACATTGAGATAACCAAGGCCTCAGCGACCGAAGTTGGAGTACGCATACTCCCTACCATTTCAACAGACTACAGAAACCTGGTGAGTCATTTAGAAATTACTGAAGTGCCATACCATACGTTCCAGGTCCCTGAAAACAAACTTCTCCATGCGCCCCATGTGATGCTTCCTAGTGCTTCTCCTCAGAAACGAGAAGAAAGGAATCACAATCCTTTTAGAAGCCCAGGACCAATCAGGACAGTAACATAACTGTCAACTATACGGACATGCTTCTTTCAATTGCAAGGCCGCCTCCAAATGCGTCAAGTGCGCCGGAGACCACAAAACCGAGTGCTGCACAAACACGCCCGAAGAAGACCCCAAATTTGCCAACTGTGAGGGGGCCCACCCGGCCTCATGGAGGCTGCCCAATCCATCCCAAACACGAGCGACCAGCCCAGCGGAGATCCTTCTCCTGGGCCGAAAGAGCCAGAACAGCCCCGACCGCGAGCCCCAGCGCTGGCACGAACCCCATAGCCAGCGCGGAATTTTCGACATTTTTATAGAACAATCGTAAACAGGATTGCTCATCATAATACGGCGTACGTTCATCAATTCTTGAGCAGGCAGGGTCTAGGGTCTACGAGTAACGTCGCCACAGCTGCTAATAGTGATGACGTCACCCGCAGACCTCGATGGAAGGCTTGCAATTCAGGCTATGCTCATTATTTGATTTTTTCGTCAATTCTAAATGTAGAGAAGGTGATTCTAACAAGAATTTAACGTTTAGGAATTCATTTTTTTGTGTGCTTTAAACTCGAATAATGAATTTTACTCCAAGAGTGGAGGTCTGCGGCTGACATAGCAGTTGGCAGACACTTTTTTTAGCTCAATAAGCAGTCCCACTAGGGATTAGAAACAGGATAATCTCTGCCATTTTCTGGACACCTGAAACTAAGATGATCAGTTTTTTTTCCTACAAATGTGCGGAAAAAAAACTTTTGGCATGCACAAAGAGTAATCTTTCCGCACACCCTTGGGAAAAATTGTGCTCCCTAAGCCTAGTACTCATAGCCGGGAAATTCGCTCTTTTTTACATTGCTTCGACGATTCAACGTTTGATTCACGCATAAAACGTCAAATTTTCGAAGGAATTTCAAAAAAGAGCGAATTTCGCTGTTATGAGTACTAGGCTTAACACTTGCGAGAAATGGTATTTCTCGCACTTGTTAGAAAAATAACTATTTATTTCCGAATTTGATGACGAGTTTCCAGTTCCACTCCAATCAAAAGGCAGTGCTTCAAAATACAAAATTTGTAGTTTCAATTTTATTCAATTTTCAATTTATTCAATCATAAGCAGTATAATCAAATTATAAAAGGTTATTATATTCTCTATCCACTCAAAACTCAAAAGGCCGGGATAATAATACTAAACAACTGTGGTGGCGTAGCGTGGCGCTGATTCCAGGCCAAACATGAGAATACCAAAATTTGCAACATCGCATATAAATTGTTTTGAGGGTGCGACCAAGCTCTTGTACCGCAATCCAGTTCAAAATACACCCGCAGAAGAAAGTCAACATCTCCTCGGTGTACATCAAGCCAAAACAGATCTTTGATGAAGCGGACGTAGGAGTCCTCTTTCCAGATGACACAGCAGTCATTGCCGGAGCTGACTTTAACGCGAAGCATTTCCTATGGGGCAACCTGACAAACAACTTCAAAGGCATAACCATTGACAACGCCGAGGCAAGAATCAAGATACGTGTTCAATATCTTGCCGCCAGACGGCCCTACCTTCGAGGGGACCGCGACCGTGTAATCCAGCCAGACTCCCTAGACATCTTCCTGACCCGAGGAGTCCATCTACAATAAACACTGACTGTGAACCATGACCTGTCCACATCAGACCACTTGCCAATCATCTTGAAAGTTGGGATTCCAGCCCTGAAACACACCAGATTCAGGGACAAAACCACCACAAACTGGAACGCCTTCACACAGAGGTTGGTTGCGTCAGAACCACAGGCGCCCATCGACAGTCCCGCCTCTCTCGACCAAGTGACCGCGAAGCTCACAAATGACATTCAGGTAGCGCTCGATGAAGCGTCAACTACTAAAAGCTACCCAGCAGACAGATACCTCAACATCCCCAGGGAACTTCGCCAAAGGAACCGCGTCAAAAACCGCATCCCTCGCAGGTGGACCACAACTGGGGATCCAGTCATGAAGAGAGAAGCGAATTGACTGACATTAGAAATCCGACAAGCCATTCACGACATCTACAATGAGAACTGGCAGAACAAGCTAGAAAAATTAGCCATAGAAGATGGATCCATCTGGAAGATGGCCAGATCCTTGACCAAGGGTCCAAGGAAACCTCTCCCTCCCATCGTCCACAACAACGCGACAATAACGAATCCCTCGGCAAAACTCGATGCTTTTGCCGACGCCTCCCAAGAACAATTCTCAACCCACAGAGACCTCCAGTTCCAAACCACAACGAACTTAACCACATCAGCAGGACCGCCACACGCTTCCTGCAAACTCAACCTCCTCCAAACGCTGACATACCACCCGTCACCAATGCGGGAATCAAAGACCTGACATCCAGAGTCAATCCAAGAAAAGGTCCAGGACGGACAAAATCAGTAACATCATCCTGCGACGTCTCCCCGACATGCAAATCCTGGAGCTTACAAACAGTACG